GCGAGCCCCTCGGAGCCCCGGGTTGGTGACGGGGCCGGGCGGGAGCCCAAGTTTGAGGACGGCTTTCCTCACCACTCCGCCGTCGCCGTCCCCCTGCCGGGTCCACGGAGGAGGGCGAGCGGACCCGTGGAAGCCCCGGAGGACCCAAGTGGTGTCGTCTAGGGCCAATTACTACCCGACACTAAGCTAATAAACCTCTTACCTGGTGTATGGTAAACACAACCACCACGAACTGAGTAAAGATCCCTGGCACAGAGCAGGGCAAATAACCTTTTCCCAGAAACGTTCACGATGAAGTGTTGGTAAGTTTGTGGTTGGAAGCATGGAGGATGTTTGGGCTTTTTTTTTTTTTTTTGGAATCTGTCAAGAAAGAACCTCAGACCCATCTTCCTTCCCAATCCTGTAAGGTTTTCCTCACTAGCCGTACTTACTAGTGATTGATTTCTCTTTCAGGTGGGCACAGAACTCTATCCTGTCAAAATACTCTTATTTTGGCAGTTAAAAAAGGCTGAGTACCATTTTGTAAGGCGTATAGAATGAGAATATTACCCACTAGCAAATGATCACGGCAAATGACGTGCTCAAGTTGACACGCTACTGTCACATGAATTAGAATGTAGGTTTTCCGACCCCACTCTACCTTTTAGACTTTGTACACATAGAGCGCACTCCCTAGTCTATCCCCTTCCCATCTCCCCATCTCAGTTTGGTACTGTCCTGTTTAAAAGGTGAGGGGAAAGTGAGAAAATGCAGACTGCATGAGGAAGCAAAATGTGCCAGTGATATAGCTGGGGAAATTAGCCTACAGGAGCTTCTGGGAACTTGTTGGCTGGGCATATAAGAATGGTTTGGGTGGACAGTTTTTTGGTTTTGTTTTGGACAAGGTCTTACACAGCCCAGGCTGCTTTCAGACTCACTACATAGGTGAGGCTGGCCTTGATCTGCTAATCCTCCTGTCTCCACCTGATTTACATAGTTTGAATAGGGGGTGGGGGTGTGGCTCAGTGGTAGATCTCTGCCTGGCGTCCAGGAGGGTCTGTAGCTCCATTGCCAGCTCTGCAAGGAGGAAATAGAAGGATAGATTCTGGCTCAGGGGGCAGAAGAAATCCATGACTTTGCCCCGTTTCCTCCCAGGAGCTTTCATTTAGTCTGCAGATACTAGAGTATCCCTGGTGTGCAAGACGCCAGCTCTCTGCACAGCACCGGGCAGGAGCTAGTGCTTTGAGAAACATCAGGCAGAGGGACCCGTAAAAAATAACCAAAGTAATTTTCAGATTCTAGAGCAGATGCCTGTGGGCTGCAGGGCCTCGCTGCCTGTCTGTGTCTTGAGATGTTACATAAATCTCTGGCTGGTCCCCATCCCTGCCGGCTCCTTCCTCCCAGTAGCCGGAACTATTAGGACGCTCGCCCTGGCCTTCTTCCTCACCTTTGCTTCTTGGTCTTGGCACTGGACGTTCCCATCTGCCAGCTTCTCTCCTGGTTTCCTCTAACGTGGACTTCTCTCGCCAGGTGAACCTCATGGCACCTGAATTTGGATCTAAGTGGGGCTGTTTCCAGAGACCAGTGCTTAAGTGAGAAATAAGCACTTCTGGCTTCCTTTACACATTTTTATAGCACTCGGTGTGCTCGACACTATCACACACACACACACACACACACACACACACACACACACACACACACAAATAATGAGCCAGTTTCTCTAGGGAGCTAAGATCCTGGGAGGACTCCTGAGGTGTCTGCCTCTAAGACAGCACCACCCAAAGCTGTACCCTGCAGTTGAACATTTTATAAGTAGCTCCACTTAGGGGGGAAAGACAGAAATGATCAGGTAACATCTTGGGAATAGCTGCTTGCAAGTTTACTGGGCAGAAATATCTGAGTTGTCATTTAAAAACAAATATCCTTGACTTTCAAGTCCTATTTTAAAACAGGATTGGTGCTTTGACCAGGGCATTTTGATCTTTGGGAGAGAAGGTTAGTGAAAGCATATGTCCTTCATTAAAATGGTTTTTTATAAGAAAAAAGGAGCAGAAATAACAGAATTAGCTCTGTAAATACTGAACTATATCTCTGTATTTAAACCTGAGGAAGGCACTGATTGTTTTCACTCTATGGATGAAGAAACTGAGCCTGCCACAAAAAGACCAATGTTCCTAACATTGGTCACATAAATATGGCATACATTTGAATGATGCTAGAGAATACTTATCAACATACAAGTTAAGGGGCTGGAGGGATGGGTCAGCAGTTAAGAGTGCTTGCTGCTCTTGCAGAGGACCTGAGTTCCCAGCACCCACACTGGGCATGCTGTAACTCCAGCTCCAGGAGATTGGATGTCCTATTCTGGTCTAAAGGGGTACCCACACCCGCATACATGTGCGCACATACACGTATATGGATAGGGACACACGAAAACACACACATAATCTTAAAACTTTAAAAACACACTCCACAGAGAACCAGGAGGGACTGTGCTGTGGCGCTCCTGCTCCACTTATGTGAGGACACCTTAATATCCTGCCGTTATTGATATCATCACTTTTTACCACTTTCAGGAGAGGAAAAACTGAGACCAGAGTTTTCATTTGCTCTGGTATAAGTAAACATGCTGTGGGTACAGGCTGTGTCCTCATTGGATAGTATAACACCATCTCAAGTCTCAGCGTATGAATTCCCATGAATGAGCCTCAAAGAAATCAAACAAAATCACTCCTGTCCCTACAGACTTAATTCTTATTGCAACCCTACATGGGTTCTCAACCACAGCATTTCTAAAGAAATGAGTGTGCAGGACTGAGCTGCACAGGAGATGAGGACTGTGTTCTGGAAGCCTTCCTGGGGCAGACACACACAGGCTCAGAAAAGCTGGGCCAGGCGGGCAGGCAGTGTGTACTCTGATGAAGCTGTGGTACTGTCACCTGGAACCTCCGAGCACTGAGTACTGTCTCGGGAGGGTAGCTAGTCTCAGCTGGCGGTGTGTGTAGGAGCAGTCTCGTCCTGGAGGAGGAAGCTGCAGTTGCTATTTTTTTTTTAGTGGTCAGTCTTGCTAGAACACTTGGATGGAGGAAGGACTTGCCTTTCTGATCTGAGGGAAAGACTTTGCCAGCTTCCCAGAGGTCTAATTCCATGGTCCTTAACATGGCTGGATCACGCCACTCAGAACTTCACTTGCTCATGACTTTCTGAATCCCTCTTATCTCTGACAACCCCATTTCTCAAGAATGACCTCAGGAAAGCCCATCAGACACCACAGTGACTTGCTGTCAAATACACAAAGAACATATTTATTTGATACAGAATCACAGGTGGGCTGGGGCGGGCTCATCATCTCAGCAGTCCCGGCTTCTGCGCCAGCAGTTCCGGAATTGGGGTGACCTGGCGTGAGTTACAACACACACAAGCCCTTCTGAGCCCCCCGGTCAGCAGGGAAGGCCTAGGCCGGGCCAAGAGGGAGGCCGTGCTCTTCTGGACGACGGTGACGACGGCGACGACGACGGTGACGACAGTCTCCATTGCCGTCTCATCTTCTGCTTGCTGACCTCGAGGCGGCCTGTGAGCTCTCTCTGGTGCGGCTGTGCAGCCCAGAAGCCAGGACCTCCTCTAGGAAACTGACACAGAGATTGCAGGTTAGTCTACAGAAAAGCAAAAGCCCCACCAAAATAGAACATCACTCTCATGGCACCGAACTGGGTAAGAAAACCTGGGTAGAGCTGGAGAAGTCCTGGCCTGCTGCTGTGTGCTGAGCAGAGGTATGCTGGACAAAACATTCAGGCCCTGAGGACTGACAAGGCCTTTATGCACATTACTGTGTTTTATTTTGTTTTTGGTTTCTCTGTGTATCCCTGGCTGTCCCGGAACTCGCTCTGTAGACCAGGCTAGCCACAGACTCACAGAGATCCTCCTGCCTCTGCCTCCCAGTGCTGGGATTAAAGGCGTGCACCACTGCCTTGCCTGGCTCACAATTTTCCTGGTTTTTTTGGACAGGATTTTGTGCCATGGCTGACCTGGAGCTGTGTCCCCCAGGCTGGCTTCATAGAACCCTTTTCTCTCAGCCTTCTAGGTGGTGAGATTATAAGCTGTCGTACCTCACATGGCTGCACTGTTCAGGTGCAAGTCAGAGGACAACTTGTAGGCGTCAACTCAGGTCATCAAGCTTGGCAGCAAGTGCCCCTACCCATGAAACTTTAGAAAGAAATTACAGGACCCCAGGTCTTTTAAAGGCAGGGTTTTATGTATTACCTTAGGACAGTGGTTTCTCAGCCTTCCCAATGCTCTGACCCTTTCATACAGTTCCTCCTGTTGTGATGACCCCAACCATAAAGTTGTTCTGTTGCTACTTTAGAACTGTAATTTTGCTACTGTTATGAATGGTAATGTTAATATCTGACATGCCAGATACCTGATATGTGACCCCTGTGGGGGTTGCGACCCACAGGTTGAGAACTGCCGCCTTAGGCATGTTCTGTTAGCACCTATTATCTGTAGTTTCCTAAAATACAGATTTTTATCCTATTGGATACTCTTTCCTCTTTAAAATCTTCCTAAAAAACCCCTGTGTGTGTCACAACACGCCTGTAGAGGTCCGAGGCCAGCCTTGGGTGTTGGTCCTCGCCTGTCACATTAGACAGGGCTGCTTAAGCTGGAGAGTTTAACTCGGCCATTTCTGCGGGGCTTAGTAAAGCCCCCCAAACGTAAGCTGAGTAAACGGATTAACTAGTCCTCGCCCACTGGCGAGGGGTGCTTCCCTCTAACACGAGGGTTGTTTTGATGGCCTTTGTAAGCATGCTCAAGACTCAAGACACAGGTCTACAGCAGAGAGACTGGGAGGTGCCTCGTTACTGCTTTACAGTTCAGCCTGGGAGATTCTGGGGCCTGGGAGACTTAAATTGGAGACTCCATCACAGACAAAGAATGAAGGGGAGGAGTAGAACCCAGGCTTGTTTATCTCCCACTGGAACAGATGCCTCTGTCTGGCCTCACCTATCAGCCACTGTGTGGGGCCACAAAGGTTTCCTAGTGAGATCTGAGCCTGCCTTACACAGTAGGGCTGCATTAGGGGATGGCTGGACCATGTGCGAGGTTCCAACATCTTTTGCTCCACCCCTGGGCATTCCTTTAAAAGCCCTTTAGTAGAGACAGAAGGGGCTGGTGGGTTTTGACCCAGGCCCTCCCGAGGCTCTCCTGTGTTTCTGTCTCTCTCCTCCATATTTCTATCT